CTACCAAGGCTGTATTGCTAGAATGCCAACAATGGGAGATATTTTAAAATTACGTTGGCCAGCATCCTGTTCAGTATTTATGATGCTGTAAGACTTACAACTTCATAAATATTGGGATTCACATTTATGGTGGTTGTACCAATACAATAACAAAAAATGCCACCCCCACTCCACTTTAGAGGCCAGGCAGCTTCTCCGCCAATACTGAAGTGAAGAGAAGCATTTAATCCTCTTCCTATAGCTACCTGCTGCAAAGTGCCTCATGGTCGAGAGAGACCTAGAAGCAATTCATAGAATCATAGAATCACAAGAAATCACAAGGGCCATCCAGTCCAACCCCCTTCCATACCAGTGCTTCAAGAATCTCTGTGATGCTACATCTATCTAGCTCATGCATGGGCAAACTTGGGTTTGCACGTGTTTTGGACTGTAACTCCCATAGTTCCTAACAGCTGGTAGGCTGTTAGGAATAGCTTCTAAGGTGGATTTGGGAGAACATCACTATTGCCTGATGCTGAGTATCAACCTTGGTTCTTTTCTTTTGCTGATAGATCTGGATATAAAGACATACTGTCTTTATGGCCTAGTGGTGATAACCTAAATTCAGAAGGAAGGGAATATGATTGAGTGCCCAGGCAGCAATTCTATATTCAGTTTATTTCTGGACTAATTGGAGAACAGGGTAATTCAAATGCTTCTGCTTCTTTTCAAATTGCTCCTGACATGATACAAAAAATTCAAAAACTATTTTTTCAAATATTGATTTCTTTGAGAATAACTAGTCTTGGAAAAACATAATGTTTACAAATTAATGCAATCCAGATGTCATAAGGAAGTTTATTTTCCCTTATAATGTATATAGAACTTCAATCCTGTAAGAAGGACAAGTGGTAGTATATAATTAAAATCTGAAACTGCTAATCTTTTCAATATCCATTTAGAGCTCCAACTCATGAACAATATTTAAAACATTTTTTCTTCCTCGACTTTTTCCAAAACTGTTATGTTTATTCAGAATATAGCTGAGAGAAAGCATTGAATTCTTCCTTCTTTGCTCATACTAATGATCCTATTCTGCTGCTGTTTGCATAACCAAAAATATGTATGTTGAGTGAATCCAGACAATGGATAGGCCCTATTTGTTTGGCTGTCATTTCTTTTAGATGTGGGCTAATAGTTCTGCACAGCTGCTTCAGAACAAGCTAGGAATTCTAACCTGAAGCTGAGAACTGTAGCTTTTTCATTTCACAGTAAATCTATACTATGACATTTCTTGACTTTCACTTGGAACAGCAAACTGTTCTCCCTAAATGCATCTCTGGTAATCACCTCTTTTCCTGCAGCCATTAATACAGCCTGTTTTCTGTAAGCAGGTAAAAAGAAGGGTTACTGAACATTAAATGATTCTATATATTTATGAATTAGTTTATGCATAAATGTTAAAAGAAACAACCTGAAATACTAATTCAAATTGTGTTGGCTTTGCAGAGCAGTTTAATTTTAGCTTTACTGGCCAATATTTTGACTTAAAATCCACATTCTCGCTTTCTCTCTCCTATTCCTTCTCGCATACTCAAACTTGCAGGACTTGGAATAGATTTAAAGGAATTTCCTTAAGTGTAGCCAGGCAGTCTTGTCACAAACACATTCATTTTCCTCTGCGGTATCCCATCCACAAAACAAGTTTAGAATGAAAAATTAGCAACAAATTCAAATTAATTTCAGGGAAAACATTCCTCTTTTAAATATTCAGCCACTCATTTCTTCCCACAGAATTTTGGATGTGAAATGATCAATATTCATCTCATGCTCAAAAGTTGTAATTTCCTGAAGCAGCGCCCATTGCCAGCAATGGGAGCACTGCAGTCCCTGATGCCAATGCAAGCAAGTGTGCCTCTCAGTCTTGGCAGAAGCATTATAGATGGCAGAATTTGAAAAGGGGTAGAGTGCAGCTTCTGGAAAGTCAATCTGAGTTATGACACAATGCAATGCTTCTAGAACATGGCCACATAGCCTGAAAAACCAGCAACAACCCACACAATGTAATGGTTTAATTAAGCCTCTCTCTGGTGAGTGTCCCTTAATGTAGTCTATTAATGGGGGGCACTACATCTTGTGTGTGTGTACATTTATTATTCTAATATACACAAAGAAACCCAAAAACCTCAATCCCGACATTCTTTCTCAATGGATTTGTCAAAATAATGATGTAGGATCTTCTTGCGGCTTTGCATTGTAGTTTCTTGAATGCCACATTAATAATTTCATCCAAAATTCTAAAATGGGCAGTAATGTGAGAGAGGAGCATGGCTATGTGATTACAAATAATTACAAACTGCTGTTTGGTGGATCAATTTAAGAATAACGGTTACTTTGTGACACAATTTCCCGACTGATTTGATTCTTTTCACACCTCATTACAATTTAGCAGGAAGTATTTCAAAAAGTAGGCATTTGGTTAAGAAAATACAGGATTTGATTAGGCTTGAGGAGAGATACGACACTTCAGCTCCTCTGGCAATAGCCACAACTCTATATCACTTGACTTTTCATGGCAAAGGATTTAGACGTGTAGTTGTTTGGTGCAATCCTGATTTCTTCTAAAAAAGAAATCCATGAAAACAGTAAGTCATATCTATAGATGTAATATGATAGAGCTCTGTTTTTGTTTTGTTCAGTTAAGTGATGGCTATTTATATTAGCATTACCTGAATGTGTGTACATTTGAATGTATGTCCTTTTTAACGATCTCATACATTTGCAGAGAAAACAGCTGAAATCATTCCAAAAGATCATTTGCCCTGTTTTGTCCTGTAGATGTAGATTTAGAATGCATTCCAGCCTATACATTGTAATGACACAGATGCCTACTATTTGCACAGCAATTCTGGTAATATTCAGAATTTTTTGTACAAGTGTTTGTTAAATGTGCATACCATATATACTCATGCATAAATCAACTTCATGTATATGTTGAGTGTAGGTTTTGGGGGCAAAGCTAAGGATTTTGATATAACCTGTAGCTATGGCAGAGGTCATAATTTTATTGTATCTTAACTGTGTTTTAACATATCCACAATACAATATTTGGTTGCTTTATAATTGTGCTTTGAATTTGCTGTTTTTCAATTTATTGGGTTGAGTCATGTCATTGACTTGAGTCCCCATAAGAAGAAGAAAAGAGGGGAAGAAATAAAGTAAATAACAATTATTGTTATTATTCCTCAGAGAGGAGAAAGTGCCAGTGCCAAACACACTTGGGTACCACTGCTACTACTTTACTTCCCAGGTATTCATAAAGACCAGAAGTGGTGCATTAGTGGAGACAGCAGAGGGGATCAATGTTTTTAAAGGTGTTCCCAGAATGAACCAAACACTTGATTTTCACCACTCTATTCAAAGAAGTGATGGTTTCTTTTTTTAAAATAAGTGTTAAGGTACAGTAGTTACGTTGACCTAGGATGAGTTGACTCAGGTTTTCAGATCAATTAAACTAAAATTTCTAGATTTATACATGAGTATAAACAGTAGTTTTTGTTAATGCTGCTGTTTTATTAGAAAATGTTACATTTCTTGGATGGCATGGAGGAGCAATCCATGTACTCTTGGGTTATTCCTCCGTGTTTTCTGTTGATGTGGAGAATAACCCCAGAGTACATAGATTGCCCCTGTCATCCAAGAATGACCATTCACAGTAATTCAATTATACGTTAAAAATTAGCAGTCCAAGGTGGGCTTGGATCTAGAGACAATTATATGGTGTTAATAGAACATACCGTGACTTTGTTCTCACTGGGTGAGTAAATGTGTGTTTGTACCATTTCAGAGCTGTGGGGTGGAGTATCACCTGATAGGACAAAATGGCCATTAGAAGGAGAAGGGTAGGCTAGACCTACCTACATAGCTAAACCTTTAGGTCAGTTTTTTTTTTGCTGTTACATTACGGGAGTCCCCAAGTGCAATCTGAAATGGTATAGCGAAGGCCACACTTCTTATCATTCTAGTGACATCTAGATCAATACCTGTACTGTCTGATCATAAATAAGCACAACACCTTCTATGAGTAATAACTAATGGAGAAATAAATAACAAAATGTGTAGGCAGGAGGAGCCTGTATTCTTGGTCTCTGTGACCACCAGTCCTTACCTAAATAATTGTATATTTGGAGGTCTTTCTCAAAGAAAGCAATTCAGGTCAAAACTCATAGCACTAGCTGGTGCTACTTGATTAATTTGGGCAGCCATGATTCATTTTAGCCACTAAAACTCTTGCTACTGATTATATTGAGAGCTACTTACTGGGAGCAAAGTCCACTCTCCAGTGAGCATTATTTTTTATATATACAGCATATTGACTGCATATGGTTTGGCAATGAAACCAAGTCCCCCACTGGACTTTAATTTGTTAATATGTAAGCACATAACTGAACCATATAGATAGTTTTGAAAAGCAGCAGCTGAAAACAGCATCTTAAAATAATCTGAAACAAGGATTTACATTTTTGGCTAATCAGTGGCAACAAATTTCCTTGGATTTGAAAGAGATTAAGGCTGCAATCCTGTATTCACACGTGGAATAAGGCCCATGACTCAGTTTGACTTAGTCCCGAGTACATGTGAATAGGATAATGCTGTATAGTATATGTGTAATATGTGATAATGATTCTAAGCAATCTGGAGATGTACACTAAATAATTTGGTTTCCAAAAAAAATAGGAAGAGTGTAATGTTATAGGTAGTTTTTTTATTAGATCGCTTCACCAGTAATATGGATCAGTATGTTTTAGCACTGAAGTATGAAAATTATACACCCATAAAAATGGCATCTAACATTTATGAAATTAAGAATTCCATTCTCCATCATGTAACATACTGTTCAGATAGAGTTCCTGTTCCAGAAGAATTAAGGAAATATCTGTGTGGAATTGTGAATATGTGATAATTGGGAATTTATTTATTTATTTATTTGCTGCATTTGTTGACCGCCGCTCTCAGCCCTAGGAATATTGCCACTTAAATGCTTTCAGAAGAAAATGACTTGATTGTACATTTTGCACCTTTTAGTATTAAAGTGTCTGTTATGGAAACATGGTCAGAATATTTCCCATATTGAAATAAAAATCTTATTAAGAATAACTGGGGGCTCGGTGAAGTTATATAAGACTGGTTCTTAGATCTGAGTTGTTCTCTGTTTGGGGAATGTAATTATTTGTGTTACATAGAAAGCAATCTATAGGTCTCCATGTAAACAAAAGAAAAATCCAAAAGAATGTAAAACAGTTACTCAACCTACGCTTGCACTTCAATCTAGCTAGTGATCATCCCAGCACTCTTCCCCTCCCCAAAATTAAAGAATACTCATCCATGTTACCGCAATACAGAAGACCTATAACAATTACCAAAGTTACGGTATATGAAAATTAAACAAGTAAGTATTCAAAAGTGTTGAAGAGTACAGCATTTTCTTGTAGGAAAAAAAAGAATCCCAGTCTAGTACTCAAGACTTCAGAGTCAAGGCTCATAGTAATTAACAAAACTTCATGGCATTTCAACTAATTAGCATCATGTTTGTTGTCATGGAATGTCATCAGGGTTTGTTTGCTTGCTTGCTTGCTTTTGTATTACAACTTTATAGGCAGTTAACACTGATCATATAGTGCAAACTAGATAAAATTGCGTTTCACTGTGTGAAATAAACAGAGGTGCAAATGCTCAGTAGGATACCATTAAGACATAAAATGGCAAAAATAAATATCAAAACTTTTTATCAGTGTAAAAAAGTAATTGGGTTATTGTATAACCTAGAGTCTGGCAAAAAAGGCCTCAAAAAGTACACTCAGTCTTCAGAAATCCCACAAATTAAGTGCCTTTTTAATATTCCAATTAGACAAGAGACTCCATGCTTTCTGCAGGATCAGATTCGTCGTTGGCCATAACGGCACCATTTTTGTCCAGTGCCATGGGGCCATTTCCATTTTCCTTAGTGCTGACCAGGCTTAGCATTGCTTTGTAAAGAAATTGGTACTGCTCCTGGAATGGAAAGACCAGAAAGTTTTTTTTAAAAAAAATCATGCAGACTTAATTCTGTTATTACTTGTCATGTCCAGGATGCAGTTCTCCCAGAGCTCTCCCAGAGTCTGATAGTTTCTCAAACAACTTTGTCAGATTGCATTATGAATATTATCGCCTTCTTAAGTCCTTTTTCAAATATTTTGTTTCCCACAAAAGTAGTCTTTACTCTCCTCTCATTTTCCTGATATTATCCTATTCAGTTCTACTCTAAAAGAAAAACATTGTCCACTAGCAATTCTTTTACAGCTAAACATGTAAGCAAGTAACCAGTAATGGCAGCACTACCTACATGGCTACTATTTATTCTTGATTTTTCTTTAGTCTTTATTTTTCTATTAGATTATTTTAAGACCCTCTTTTTCAACACATTGAGACTCCATCTCCTCTACTGGGTGGTACCAGTAGAACTTGTTGCACTTTACCTTCTAGTCTAGACTAGGTTTATATATTTATTTGAAACCTTTATATTACACCTTTCTCACCCTGAAAGGGACTCAGGGTAGAGCACAAGATATATACAACAATCATTTCATGCCAGGACATAAAATAACTATAAATAAACTCTAAAATCTGTTATATCTACTTTAAAATCAGTTGCTTAAAACTATCTCAAAACATCATTGTGGTTACGGTCAGCAGAGTAGGCTTCCTGTCTCATTGCACTGCCCCAAAGGTCTTTACCATCTTTCTGAAGGACAGGGGGGGGGGGGTGCTGATCTAATCTCGCTAGGAAGGGAATTCCATAGACCGGGGGGGGGGGATCACTGAGAAGGCCCTCTTTCTCGTCCCAGCCAAACACGCCAGTGACTGTTGCAGTACTGAGAGCAGAGCCTCCCCAGAATATCTTATTCTTCACAGTGGATTGTAAAGGGAGATGCATTTGGACGTGTAAACTGGGCCAGGGACATTTAGGGCTTTATAGGCCAAAGCCAGCACTTTGAATTGTGCCCGGTAGTAAACAGGCATTTAAAAAGGAGAGAAAAATTCCATCAAAGATATACCAAAAAAAAAAAAAAAAAAAAGGCCTGAAATTATGTTTACTGCTGCACTGAGTCCCTTAATTGTGTAGGTAAATGTGACAACATTTGTGCTGTTTTCAGGTAAAAGCAGAAAAACAACTGGGCAACAATATACACATTTTCTTAGGTTTAGGTCCCATTATAGGTCCCTCATTGAAGCCATGTGCATAGGGAATTGGAACTAGATAATGCATAGGTCTAGATTTCCTTGAACATATTTACATGGAGTGATTACTTTGTAAAGATCATTGTATTATAGATTTACGGGCTTACAATGTCTGTGAATACTCCAGGCCTCATCAGATTGATCATCTTTGCCACCTGGAAAACATCAACTGCATTTTCATTCTCCAGCTGTTGGGACAGGGTGGTAAGGGCACATAAAGTTCCAGCTGCCACTGCTCCATATCTGCAAATGTACAGAAACATTGTATTCAGACACTCATAGGTGAACCATGGGAACCTCCTGTCAAAAAGTAATGAAAATTTTATGTCCCTGTGTCAGTTTTAGTTTGCTTGGATTTGCACTTTATATTCCCTGTCAGATAAATATACCTGTGCTTGGGATTATTTTGCTGTTGTATTAATAAATAAAATACATGATGATGTAGCTGAGTGCACCAAAGGAAAATGTTCATTTTCAGCTACATTTCCTCAGATTGCATTAAAAATGGAACATATATTATGTATTAAAGCATAAAAATAAAAATCAGTGAAGATAACAAATAATACAAAAAGCAATTTACAGAAGAAATGAGTCAGCACTTCTAGAAACAGGGTGGGTGTTTTGCTCTCATGAAATGCCCAAATCAATAACCGTCCTAATTTTGTAAAGCAATTTTGAATACTGCAAGAGCAGCAAAAGCACTCAAAAAATAGGTGAGAGTTAAAAGTGGCCACAGCTAAATATAGCTGAAAGCACCTGTGTTTTACATTGTACTTTAGCAAATCAAAATATGGAAAAGTAAATATGCATAGAGCCCTAGATCACCCTTTTTGCAATCACCCATGGCCATTCAGATTACATGGAAGTCCCATCTGTGCAGGGTAACAGCACATTTTTGTATGGTACTGTCATCACCTCTGAAGAAGAGAAGCAAAAATAAATTCAGGAAGTCCCCGAGTTACACACATCCTACTTACAAACGACTCATAATTGAGAATGGTGGTGAGACAACAGGAAGTGAGAGAAATCTACCCTTTGGAAGGGATACTCACTCCTGAAAGAGTTATCATGGGGAAAAGGCGTTTCCACTGAAGCTTTACCACCACTTCTTGTTTCCATAACAAGCCAAATTTCTCAAATTCAATTATCATAGGGACAGAAAGTGAGGTGAAAACTTCTGAACAGGGGCACAGACATCAAAACGAACACCACAAGAATGTCAAGAGCTACACTTAAAATGTACCTGTTCTGACTTACATACAAATTCACTTTAAGAACAAACCTACAGAACTTATCTTATTCGTAACTTGGGGGCTGCCTGTAAAAGCTATTTGGAAACAGCCCTTCCACTAATTGATTGCAATTTGGGCCAGTTGACCAACTAACAGACTTCTTGAATGTTTCTTCAAGATACAGTTCTTGCACATCAGGACAGAATGTGTGGGAAAAGTGATTGTTAAAGAAACAGTTATAACAGCTGTGGTACTACAGGATCTGTTTCAGAAAAGGTGACATTTTATACACTGAAGCCTTTTGGAGCAGGGCTGAGGAGACAATGCTTGTGGAAGGTCCACAGCTCAGTGATAGATTACATGCTTTTCACATAGAGCACCTCCAGTTGATTTCATGGCATATCAAATGAAAAGATCTCTGATAGAAAAACTTGGAGAGACTTCTACCAGAGATCTCGAAAGGTTGCTATCACTTAGTATATAGGGGCCAGTGATTTGAATCAGTATGAATATCAAAGCTAAGTTCTTTGATACAAAGGTAAGCATAGAAATGTGATAGAATTAAAGCTTTCTTAGTGGGTGGAATGAGAGGGTAAAAATCTGGTATATCGCATTGTACATTAGAGACATGCACCGAAAGATCTTTCTAAACTATGGAAATATTTACTTTCACATTGGATGGAGTCCCCCGGGAGAATTTGGATGCTTAATTTCCTTCAGTTTAGTGCTGAAATCATAGTATGCAATGTGGGGTTGTTCAGATTGTGTTTGTGATGGACTTGTTTCTGTGTTCTTCCAATATGAACATCTTTTATATCTTTACAACACTGTCATTGTTGTTACCATCCCATGGGACATATGTTCCTCAATTGTAATTGAATGGCAACAGTAATCATCCCTTCCCATTGACTATTTTGGCTAGGGTTGCCAGTGATAATAAGACATATCAGGAGTGGGCAACCTCAGCCAGCCAAACACTGATGATTATGTTTAGCACACCCACACTGCTGAAAGTTATTTCAGTTACTTATACTGACTGACTTATTGTGTAAAATACAGAAAATAAATGATTGCGTTATTTAAAAGAAAGAGCATCTTTATATAAGTAAGCAACATCTAGAACATTCACACACATAGTAGTAGTAGTAGTAGTAGTAGTACTACTACTACTAGTAGTAGTAATAATGCACACACATAAGAGATAATATTCTATCTAAGGTCCACTGTGTTCTTTCTATGCTTATGATGTGATAGATATACATACTCGTCATGAACAATGGTGGGGCCATCTCTTGTTAAGGCCTCTTCCTTAATTACATTGATAAGCTCAAAGGTACTGCTTATTGGAGCATCTGGGTTTGGCCATTTGGGACACTGAAAATGACGTACTTCCAAAACATAGTCATCCTGAAATGAAAGCCAATCCAGGTATTAATAATTTAAGTCTACTATTTTGCTTAGACTGCACATCTACTTTCAAACATCACATCTGTTTTGGTATTTGAAATTAAAAACCAGTTGACCAATCTTCTGATTATTATTGATGATAAACATCTTGTTCCTCTCCCAAACAAGGAAGTATCCATTTTCCATATGGAAGTGAGGTCAACTTATTTTTGTCTTAAAGCAAAGGTTCCTCAACTTATTTGGCCTACTACCCCCTTTTGAGAAAAAAAAATACTCAACACCTCCCTTCTTTAAAGCAGGCAGACAGATGCAATGACAAATTTGTGTACTTTTATGCATCTGTATTTCTACCTATGTCCTACAACATAGTAAATAAAGATGTTGTAACTAAGATACCTTGAAGCTTGGAATTTAAAAATATTTATTATAATTAACTACAGTAACATTCACATTGCACACAGAGAACTAAGGTAACAATGATAATATTAAAATAAACAGAGCAAATAGCATTTTTAAAAACCCAATGATAAGAATGAACCTGGAATCCTGTTGGCATAACCTCTTGTTATCTGTGCATATGTATTTTGGTGTAATTGTGTAAAGAGTTATTTATACACACCCTGCCCCCCCCCCCCAAAAAACAACAACAACCCATGCAACTGATTTTCCCATGTCAGAGAACATTTCCATGGCCATTCAGAGTGGAAGAGATAGCATCAGGCAGAAGTTCTGTGGTCATGAGAAGGGAGAAGACATTATCATCCTGGATTTGTAATGAGGATACATGGCTATGCTGGAGTCTGGGTGGTTGTCATACTCCCTTCGCTCAGTTATGGAACTGTAGGTGGATGTTGCCTAGGTGGGTTTTGCTCTCTCCTAGCCACTAATTGGCTGAGGCAGTGTGCTTTTCCATGAACAGATTGGTTGCCTCTGTGGCAGAAAGGGAAGAGGGATGAAGTATGCTGGCAAAGTGTTATGTTCCACTAGGGTGATGAAATGATCTCTGTTAGATTTCTCTTCAGGCAAATGAATGGCTCCAGTTCATAAAGAGGGAGGCAACGCATGAAGAAAATGCATTGTTGGCAGTGGCTGTTCCTTCATATAATTAAAAAAGAGAAGGAGATTCTTGGTACTGCTGCAGTGCTTTTCCTGCAGCCACCTAAGATTTTCTCCAGATGTTGTTCAGAACTGGCAAACAGATTCAAGTCAGCATACAGCTTACAAAAATAGGTGCCCCTCTGCAAGGTCTGTGGGGAAATCACCCCATGGATAATTAACAATTCCATTAATTCAGTTTCAGTAAATGCACCTTATGCTGAGACATAATAGCTGCATATGACAATGATTACTTAAATATGCAGACCTAGTGACTATACTCTTAACCTATAAAAGGAACTCTGCATTACCTTGAATCGGGTTGTTGAACGATGGAACTTCGAACAAAACTTTAAACAAGAGAAGCAAAATTGTCAGTAATCCAGCCCTGTGTCCTGGATTTTTTTTTGCCAGCCATTCAGAGATCCACCTTTGCAACATACACAGGAATTTTCAAGTTTTTCTGCTACACTGTATGGTCTAGGCCAACCTGTGGTCCATGGATGCTTATGAATGTGGCCCAACACAAAATTGTAGATGCATTTGAAACATTACGATTTTTTGGTAACTCAACTGCATGTTTTCGAGCGTGAATGTTGTAGATGACAACAGATTGGAAAGGAATAATCAGAGTATGTTATGTCCACAAATATCAGTATTATATCGAATTCGCATTGTAATTGCAAACTGTTTTGCCAGAAGATATGCTCAATGATTTTAAAAGACTCTCTGAATAATTAATATTATTATAAGATAATCTTTTTTTTGTTTTTTGCTTCTTTGTGATGGCAAATAGAAAAAAAATGATGCATTGACCTATTTTTTTGTATGCCCATTACCATTATTATTAGTGTATTTTACATGTGGCCCAAGGCAATTCTTCTTCCAGTATGGCTCAGGGAAGCCAAAAGGTTGGACATCCCTGGTATAGTGGTTGGACTACTTGTTGCCTCAAATTTGAGGCAGTCTGCAGCACCGCCCTTGTTAACTCCATGTTTTGTCTTGGTCTTCTCAGTCACAATCTTTGCACTCTTTCCAGGCTGTTCTCTACACTTGTAATGTGCTCTCCAGTATTGGAATGATGGAAGGAACAAAATGCAGAATACAGCACGAACAGATTGCTACCATAGCTACTTGTAAGTAGATCTTCTTTCAGCTTTTTGCATATGGTGCTATTGAGATAGTAACAGAAGAAGAAAAAAACTTCCAGGAATTAAATACTCTATTCTGCCATTTGTCCAGAAAGTGGATGGAATATTAAAGTGAAGTTAGTATTTTTCCAATAAGGACTTCATAACAATATCATTGCTACACATAAGCCTTATTAGGCTCATCTGAGACAAACAGCAGCAGTTTTCACCAGTTCCTGAGACACGTCTATGAGCAGTCCTTTCAAAAAAGAGAGATTAGGCCTTTAGTGTGATTTCTGCTTGAGAAGCAGTTTAACTTTTGGATCACATCAAAACTGAAAACTTGCTGGTTTCTATGGAAATGCTAAACCGAAATTAACACAAATCTCTAGGGGAAGAGGGAGTGTAGTTGATAACAAGTCCGTCCTGGCCAAATAGAGACATTAAATCAATCTTCCTAAAAACACTCTTCTCAGTAGCACTTTGAATATCACAGATGCCAGGTTCACCTTTGGAAAATGCTTTATATACCTGAGTAGCCTCAAGGATAAAGTCATGGATGATGATCTGCTCCTCATTAGAGAGGCACAGCCTGTCTTTGCTGATAAGGGTCACAGTAAATGCTTCACAATTCATGGATTCCTCCCGACTTGGCCAGTACACAAACTCATCCTCTGCCTGAAGATAAGTGAACCAAACAGAAGACATATGGTTTTCATAATAATTCTTTTAACTTTTAACTTGGGACAATTCAAAGAATCAAAACATGGCTTAATAACCGGGATCATAAACTGATTTTCCACTAAATAATTCTGTCAGCAAAATAACTGCCATAGAAACACTGAGATTTCTAACAGGACAAATTTAAATGTTTACTAGGGAAATGCACATTTTAGAACATTTATACAAATATATTCCCTTGGGTATAAGACAAAAATATAGTAATGTCCGATGTTTGATGTCATATGATTTAAGGCAGGCAGGCACCCTAATGATTATTAGATAATAACTAATTTATCTTACATGTATATTCTGCTTCTACACAATAGGAGAAAGCCTTCAATAATACAATAGCAGTTTTATTTCAGAACTTCAAATCTATAATAATGATTTCCAGGCCTGGAGTGATGGAACCTATATACCTTTTCACAATGAGCTGATGAAAGAAAATTATTCAAGCAATGAAAAGTTCTAATGAACTTTAAATTTGCTAAAGACACTGCTTATATTCAGTTTTTAAAATCAAAATAGTTTTTTAAAAATGTAAAAATTTTATGAGCTGTGATCCAAAAGGATACGAATCTGGTATGTAAGAGAATTTGTTGTCTTGTGCCTTCAAGTCATTTCCAATGTACAGTGACTCTAATGAGAACCTATCATGGCAAGATTTGTTTAGAGCCTTCTCAGAAGCTGAGAGTGTGTGATTTGCCTAAGGTCACCCAGTGGGTTTCTGTGGCTGAGCAGGAATCTGAACCCTGTTGTCCAGAATTGTAGTGTGACGCCTTAAGCTATTACACCACGCCCGCTCATGTAACATTATACCTGAAAGGAGCAGTGTAACTTTGCTGAGTTACTCAACTCACACAGGGCACACATAAACTGAAATCACTACCTTAGAAACAGTAATGGCCACCAGCTAATCTGGGAATTGGACAAATTCATAGGAGATCAGTGGCTGCCGGTCAAAGGTTTATATGCTTTCTCCTTATTACCAGGGGCAATTTGTTCCGTTATGCTAGTTTTCAAGGGACTATTCTCAGCAGAAGAAATAAACAAATACACATTTGTTTGTTTAATACAATAAGGGCAGGGAGATTTTTGGCTCTTATGATTTTTGACTAGTATTCTAGTCAAAAATCTAGTTAGTGAAGGTGTTTTGTTTCCCTTTTGCCTCGAAAAAACCCCCCTCAGTGGTTTGATCAAAGCAGTGTACACAAAACAGTGTATATTTCAGTATTGATGCTGGTGGAAGATTTAGCAGTTTTGTATCCTCCCCCCCCCCCCCCCCCCCCCACCTTAGATACAACTTAGAATTTCTTTGGTCATTTGTAACTTATGGAGTTGTTAACTGAGACATCAAGTATACTTTCCCTTTGAAGCACAGCCAGTAAATGTTGCTAAGCGGGCCCAGTTCTTGCTCCCTGCTGTGTTACATCATTAATATACAGCATGCAGAATTAAACAACTTACTAAGCTCTGGTTATCTGGAAGCATGACAATGATCTGTGCATTGTGATCCCAGATCATTCGCCAGAAATCTTTAGTTGTGTGTGGCAGGGGATGCTGTGTGATGATGAACTCGTTGCTCCGGTAGTAGCCCTTTGAAAGCAGAGATCATTTTGTATTCAGTGGATAGAGTATTTGGGGAACATTAAACTTCATGGATGAGAACAGACAAAACTAGTTGTTAGATTGCTGAATGTTTAAAGCTCCCTGCTGGGTTAATTTACCCTAACAAAAATAATGGATAACATGTCAAAGAAAAATATGCTCAACAAACATATACCGTTTAACTCCATACTTTGCACCAGGAATGGCAACCTACTGAGCAGAGAGGACCATAGTGGAAACAGATATGATGAGTGGCAGCTAACATTTGTTTACGCTAATTAAAAATAACGAGCTCCGGGGCATTCCTATTGGATGCACTAAATTCTTTCTGTGATGCCACATAGTCCATTGCTAGTACAATAAGTATCACTTAGAATGTTTATGAAAATTTCTCCAGTCAGATGAGATGGTGAATAATGTACCATGTGCAACAATGAAAAACTGTATCACCAGTTAACAGGGTATCATGGATCACAGAGAAAATATAGTTGGAAGGGACTTCAAGGGCCATTTATTCCAACACCTGCCATTGTAGGAATGCAAATGTGAAGCATTCTTGACAGATGGCCATCAAGCTTACATTTAAATAATTCCAATAGAGGAGAGTTCACTCACCTCTGAGGGAGTCTATGTTGAACAATTCTTACTATTAGGAAGGTCTTCCTAATATTGAATTAGCACTTTCTTTCTTGTAATTTAAATCCATTGGTTAGACATGTAGGATATGGCTCATTCCCAGAGCTTGAAATAATCAAGTTGGAAAGAGCCCCAACATGCAGCCTCCTGGCAGTGCAGGAATTTATCATTAAGCACACCTGAGAGGTGACTATCTAACCCAGGGGTGGGCAAGATGTAGCCTAAAATGTCCAGTGATGGTGTGGGGTACATTTTCACTATGTATCTCCTACAGCAGGCATGGGCAAACTTCGACCTTCTAGTTGTTTTGAACTTTAACTCCCAGAAATCCCAGTCAGCTTTAGCACAGCTGGTTAATCACCAGCAGCAATAGATCACACCAATCAAAAGATTGGCAGTTCGAAGCCCGGGTCCAGGTGAGCACCCGACCTTTAGCCCAGCTCACTGTCCACCTAAGCAGTTCAAAAACAGTTGTGAATAGAAAAAATTGGCACCACTTAAGTGGGGAGGTATTTTACTGCACCATAAAAAAGGAAGTACCAAAAAATGCTGTTGATCAAAGAAAGGAGAAAGTCTGTGGTCAAGAGCTCTTTGTCATAGAGGATGGAGCGACAGTACCCTCCTGTGGTTGGAATCAAGTACAACCACCAGTTGGGAAAAATGCCGACGTATGCCTCTATCTGTCCTGTCTGTTTAACGGCATTGAATGTTTGCTGTGCATGTGCTCTGTGATCTGCCCTGAGTCCCCTTCAGGGTGAGAAGGGCAGAATATAAATGCTGTAAACAAGCTTACTGGCTGTTAGGAATTGTGAAAGTTAAAGTCCAAAACACCTGGAGGGCCAAAGTTTGTCCATGTCTGTCCTAGAGACATCTAAGGGCTGTTTTTTTATTTAAAAAAGCATTTTTATTCTATTTTTTGCAGAAGCAGTCTTTGCAAAGTCTGTTAGGAGGCTAGTACTGCCCCCTAACTTTCCATAGTTACTCATTAATGAGCTAACCTTCTTACAGCTCTAGTTCCTATTTAGCAAGGCCATTGCTAATTGGGAGATACTAGGAGTTGCAATCAAAAGTTCAGAATATTACTCCTGTGCATACAACTCATAGAGCTATGATTAAACGAGGCTGCATCCTTTGGTACAAATTCTATAGCATACTGTCCATTGCCTCATTAGGGATATATATGGAGGACCTTTCATTCCAAACAGCCACTGGCTCACTGCAGCAAACATCTGCCTGACCAAGTGCTGACAAGAAAGAGATTTCACTGAGTTCTAGGGAAAATAGCTCCTCTGAACTCTTATGAAAATTGAAATTATCTTCTAAACCAAATTTATGATAGTTAATATTGCTCTACATGGTGCTCTTTTTTGAAGTGGCATCACTGTATTTGAACACAAGGCAAAATTCCTGTAATCATCTCTAGATACTGAAACTGTTATATTCCATTGATTTACTCACAATGAACTGTTGATTTTCTTACCATGATATAAGAGGCATTAATGTAATCAGTCCCCTTCATTCCAGGTAATGGTGCTAGTCCCACTCTTGCTCGCTCGGCTACAGCACAGGGGGAAAAAAGGCATCAGAAATCACAACCACAACACGTAACACCATAACAGAATACTCAAGTTTACCCTGGGTCAGCTCAAAGAGAATAACATGTTTTTTTTAAATGTGTACATGTAACATCAGTTTGAAGCCCCTCAATCTTTTGAGCTCAAAGAAGATAGCATGATTTTTTTTAAGTGTGTAAGCGTAGCACCGGTTTGAAGCCCATTTACAGTTCAAGAACCTCAATTTATATTTGTTCCGGGTTTGATCCAGATCCATCAAGACATGGAGGATCTGGACCAAACCAGGCACAGATAATACACACACACCCACCTTTATTTATATATGTATATAGATTACTAGGATAAGACAATTTCTAGAAAATATTTCCTGAAAGGAGAAGCTATATTGGTTTGATGAAGGTTATTGAAACATTAATTTAAAAATTACTTCATCGGTATGTAAAGTTCTTACTGGAATGTCCACACACTCTAAAAATTCTGATATGCCTTTATGTATAGGAATGTTTTAACTGGTATCTAAAGTTGATCCTACAACTCAGAGTTATATTTAAAGAGAGCATCAACCCAACAACACAGAACAGTCCAATTCACCACATAGATAGCGCCATGCAAATATAATTTAGATCTGAGCAGAAAGAATGTAGGCAGGGTAACAATCAAACTTGGAAGATGTTATCTTACATGGCACTACTGATGAGTTCCTATTCTTTTCTTTGTTGCAGTCCTTCTGGGCGCTGAAGCACTCCACATATTTTGCATTGCACTGCATAACCAGCTAAGATATTTAAATAAAGCAGAAGCAAGTTTCATTAATTCTTTTGTCATACTTTAAAACACACACACACAAAACCATATATATGCAGAAACAGGCATTTTACTGGGTTGGCAGGGGGGACCTTGCCTTCCTGAAAAAACGAACTGTATTGCTAGATTTGACAGAATCATTTGAAATGGCAAGGGGGTCTTCTATGTAGAGAAAGGTGTATATACAAATCCTTTCAGCCCTCAAGGAAGTATCATTCTTATCTATAGGACACAAATGAATTTAAGTGCCTTTCCAATTGAGGAGGCAGCATGGTGTAGTAGCTTAAATGTTGGGTTATGATTCTTGAGACCAGGGTTCAAATGTTCACTTTGTCATGAAACTGCTGGGCAAATCATGCTCTCCCAGCTTCAGAGGGAGGCAATATGGAGTTCCTGGTGGCGCAGTGGGTTAAGCCCTTGTGCTGACAGGACTGCTGACCAAAAGGTCAGTGGTTCGAGTCCGGGGAGCAGGGTGAGCTCCCATCTGTCAACTCTAGCTTCTCTCTGTGGGGACATGAGAGAAGCCTCCTCACAGGATGGTAAAACATCCGGTTGTCTCCTGGGCAACAACTTTGCAATCGGCCAATTCTCTCACACTAGAAGTGACTTGCAGTTTCTCAAATAGCTCCCGACACAAAAAAAGAGAGGGTTAAACGTCTTCTGAACAAATTCTACCCATCTCATAAAACTCAAACTCTTGTTCTGTAGGAAGAAAGTAGTCTTAATATCCAAACCAACTAAAAACACTCTAGGTTCATCATCAGGATAAAGTGAAAACACGGTTACCCTTCTCACTGATTTAATTTGTTTGTGTTTTCCAAAAATCTGGATCGCTTTGTTCCACATGGAAAAAGCAGCAAAGTTGTAGGATAAGAAAGGATCTTGCCTTGAACTGTTTCTCTAGTCGAGTCTTGCCCCCAATTCCAGGTATGAGGATGCTATTAACATAGCTGTGTAGCTGGTTGGCAGAAACTTCCGTCTCTTTCCCAAGAATGGCTTCCAACAAGGCATCGTGAATAAAAACATACTGTTCCTGGAATGACCGAAATAAACAAGATGTGAGCAAAACCCAAGGTCACTGAATGAGACACAGCTTTAGGAAACTACATCATTAGATATAGTACCTTTTAAGACAACTTTTCAGTCCCTCCCTGCTGCTTTGTTTAACATACATCTTTCTACCTGTTTTTCTTTTACTTCTTTCACTTTTCTTAATGGCCAGAATTCTGTTTTCATTCCTCACTACATTTCAATCCTTCCCACTGTCATCATTTCTCCTTTTCTTTTACTAAATGTATTTTTAATTTTTTAAAAGTTTACAATTTCCAGCAAATTAAAAAAAATCTCTCGATCTTCATGAAAACATAATGTTACGAAGTAGGCATTACTCTTCATTTAATAATTCCCCCTTGTATTTTTTCATGACATAACAGTGATATTTTAGGGGGTTCAACTTGTCTTTAAAAATTCTTTGATACATTTCAGTTCTGTGCAAATAAATGCGCTTTCTCACTGAATCTACAAAAAGATAAAAGAAATGTAGTATACGGCTGATAGGTTGAGGACATCCACAATCTGATCAGAGTTATGGACTCCTCTCTCCAGAAAATGGACTTATAATACAATTTTCAAATGAGAAAATGAAAGGCAGGCCATTTTGGCAGCTTTGCACAGACACTCTGCAACCTATCCACACATTTCTTTTGAGTCCAGTCTCCACTGATTAATAACCCCAGTCTGAGTGGAAAATGCACTAGGCAAATTATTCTACATGTAGCAAATTGTAACAAGTGAACAACTATTTACAGCAATGACAATAAATATGTTGGGTTGTTGTGAGTTTTCTGGGCTGTATGGCCATGTTCCAGAAGCATTCTCTCCAGACGTATTGCTTGCATCTATGGCAGGCATTCTCAGAAGTTGTGAGGTAGATGCAGGCAAAACGTCAGAAATGAATGCTTCTGGAACATGGCTATACAGCCCGGAAAACTCTCAACAACCCAGTGATTCTGGCTGTGAAAGCCTTCGACAATAAATATGTTTCTGTATTTTTACCTCTGTCTGGACGAGGTAGTTGCGCTGTGTCCTGATGTGTTTCAAAAAACCCAGGACATTCACTGTGCTTTTGTCTTTTATCTGTTGCAGCATACTGTCTATAACAATGTAGGTACCAGTTCTGCCAACGCCAGCACTGACACACAGAAAAGATAAAAAAGAAAGGCCAGATAAATACTTATGCAACATTGCAATGCCATGATTGACTGTAAATTCAGACTCAAGTCTTGTCCTTTCTTTTCTTTTCTTTTCTTTCCTTTTCTTTAAGAAACAGCAACACTGATGGAATGGGATTCCACCATCAAGAAGCCTCCCTGGAAATGCTACACTGAGAGTTGGATATCCTACATAATAATATAAGCTATAATATATAAGCAGCTTCAACCGGGTATATGTGGTATACACACACACACACACAGAGTATATATGTGTATCTGTTGATCTACTCTTCACCCTCAGTGTGCCACACTATTCTGGATGAGTCTTTGACCCTCTGCATAGCATTTCCAGAGGAAAATTTGTTGATGGAGGAAGGAAATTTGCTTCCTGCAAGACCTTTTTCGATTTTCTGTACACTGTGATGGGAAGCTTTCAGTTTTATCTTGACTCCTGGAATGTTAAGCAGGCTGACTGAAAGATTTGCATTTGAGGAATGGCTTTTAGTTAAATGGGAAACAAAATTCTAGACTTATGGCTACATGCCAAAGTTTTGAAGTATTTGCATTGTACTCAAAATATATGGTGCGGTTCTTGTGTATTGTATGGAGCTTTTCTTTTTGATATATCAAATGTATCAATGATCTGTTCTAGTGAAGCATTCATATTCAAGGAGAGAAACAGCCTCTCCAAGGTTAATGCTAAAAGGTAGATTAGCATGGGCTCCATTGGTGGTGTTCATTTTTTGGTTTGCAATAAACAAGACTATACAAGAATGCTAACGTCTAGGAATTCAGGAATTATGTGTAGGACAAGCTACCTCAAAAAATCCTTTTAACCAGGATAGAAGTACTCCAATGTATGAAGATATTCATTTATAGTAATTGATTTTGCCTGAACACAGAAGTATTTATTTGTGTTGAAAGATCTCCCCAGCAAGAGTATATGCAGACCAGATTACAAAAATAGAAACAATACAGCATGTCAAAAGTACAAAAGCTGAGAAATTAAAATATGTCCACTTGGTGAATTCTTTTACTGATTCTGCTGCTGGAAAACAGATTTATGCAAACTACTGGGGCTCTTGTGTTACTGAGAAAAGGGGTGCCAACTGCTTCAGTCACACATGTTTATGACAGTGAAACATTAGAACGTGAAATTCTGTAGTTACAATTCTTTGGACTTGGAGGGAGAAGAGTTATGAAGATATGACACCAACTGCAGTCAAGGTTTAAGTGAGTGAAAAGGGGGAGGCAACAGTTGCTATGATGGGGAATTATTCAGAGGGGGAGGAAAACTGAACATACAATGACAGTGACAACATGGAAGTATTCAGGGTGCATTGCTCACCATAACTCTACTGTTCTATGAAAATTCAGTCATTTTGCAGTGCATTACAGAATCCCCAGTTATTGATACATAGTGACTGGCCTTCCTTTCAGATGTTTTGTAGGAAAATTTCATCCAACAATAAGATGGACTTTATTTTGTGATATAGTGGCTTGAGAGACTTGAGATGAAACCTGGGTTTAGCCATGGATTTTACTGAACACTCTTGGAAAGTTGCAATCTATCAGACTCAGTTTTCTGTCATATGTCTCCCTTCCACAGTTACCAGAAGGTATGAAATAAATTGTGAAACACTTAGTTCACTTCTAAAATAATAACTACACTACTCTAAGATATGGCATGTGTGCGTTATTAATCCTATGTTGCCCACAAAATGGGACTGCCCTCATGCAAGTATACCTGCAGTGAACGACCACAGGGCCCATATCAGCAGTTCTGGCTGCAGAAGATCTTCTCACAAATGTCAGCACTGGCAGTGCATACTCAGGCACACCCATATCAGGCCACTGTGTGTAGTGGTACTGAATGACTGTCCTTTCATTCTGACGTCCTTTAGGGTTCCCCTTTCAGAATACATGGCAAAGATTTAAGAAGAGAGAAGAAAAACATTAGTTGGGCACTGGATCATGTCATACTTGTGTGCAAGTGACAAGCTTTACCCAATACCTAGCATCCTTCTCACTTCAAAGACATAAATGTGTTAGTCTGGAATATCAATATGCAAAGGAATCTTTTAGCACCTTCAAGACTAAATGAGAGAAGAAAGTTGGTAGCAAAAGCTTATTGAAAAGATTTTTTATGCAACATTTCTTTAGCTCCCAACAAAACTCACTTAAAAACACACAGTTCTAATCCTTGACACTTTGTTTGACCTGTTTGTCTGAATTGTATTCTGATTGATGGCAATTCACTATGATCAAGTTTCAGAACCCATGTTATAGAGCAAATGTGCAAAAGTTAGAGACTGTTAAATAGAGCTGGACAGTCAATACTTCACTTTATTTATACCCCCCCCCCTTCCTCAATATTAGTATTCTAGTTTCTTCATTTGCTTGAATAGGAGGATTCCTCACTCTGAGCATTTTGCCCTATTTGTTAAAGTTCCTTGTTTTCAGAACTTTGTAAAGTTTTACGAAGGTTCATATTTCAAGTACTTAATATGCCCGTGTTATTTACTAAGTAAGTCCAAACTTGATATTTCATTAACTAATTACTTAATTTACACATCCTAGATATGCTTTTTAAACACAACTCACACTGTAATGATATTCCTTACCTTTTTCATTTTTGCATTCCTGACTGTGAAACGTCGGACTGTATAGCAAGCATGTACTTTTGTGCTCTTCAGTGTGACAATGATGTTGCCATATTCTTCACTGTTTTCTGTTGGCCAGTATTGGTCACATTTTCTCTAAAGAAAGAAGAGGTAGTATGGAATTAGAATTGGATTCTGATGAAGGCAACAGATGGATTAATAAGCATTAGACACCTGGGTGGTTCTTTCAGATCAGTAAATGAACTTTAGCCCTTCTTCTTCTCTACATTCTTGCCCCTTGTAACTCAATTTCTCTCCTTTACTGAGGAAGCTACCATGTATATATGGGCTTTCCTTTGATGACAGTCTTCTCCAAAATGCCATGGAAGGGATATGTAGCTAGTGAATCCACTTCCCTTCTTGCATGAAGAACCCAAGAAAATGCCTAAATAGGACTTGTTACTACTACTGAAGTGAGAAGGAATGAATGGTTCTGACAGTAACAAGAGTGCAATTTCCTATTATTTTGCGGTGTATGTAATTGTTTACAATATAGTTAAAAAGAAATAAATTCTATGTCTTCACAGATCTGAAAAAGTGCATTCATGGTGAAATCTGAAAAAAATGACTGAAAAACTGTATTGCTCTTACTCTTCCTTTTTCCACAAGGTTTGTAATCATGACGATAATTCCAGTGTTTTGCTCCCAAATCATTCTCCAGAAATCTTCAAATGTTGACTTCAAAGGTCCCTGGGTGGCAATGTAGGCTTTTGCTTTGTTGTAACCCTTCAAAGAAAACCACAATGCAAAGCAAGATGAAAGTATCTGCATGGCAGTTATATTAATAATGTATACACATTGCTGAGATAGATGCCCTTCGTGCTGAATGTTTGAGGAGTTTGAAGAGTTAGTAAACAAACAAAAAATTCTCTCTACAAGCACTAATAGCTTCTGTTCCTTCCACAGGACAGCTATTTCTCAAAGGAGACAAGAAAGCAGAAATACAAAACCAGAACCTACGTCGACATAATTGGCATTAATGTAGTCACTGTGCTTCGAGTCTTTTCCTGGTAAAGGTCTTAGCTTCACTCTACTGTGATCATCTGCAGGAAATATAAAATCAGAAAAATACAAGGTACTTATTAGAAAGTCACATTTCCGGAATTTTCTTTCTATGAAATTAATAAACCTTTCCTTTGATCTACTCCAGAACAAGAAAGAGTCCAGAGAATCTGCACCAATCACATCACTTCCTGGCCAGGAAATAGTGACCGTGAGACTCAGCAAGTGATCAAGAAATATTGATTTTTTTTGAAAGACATTAAAATGTGACAGACCCATTAGCAAATGTGGGAGGCCACAGAATCCCAAGGATCACAAAATTAGCACTTGCAGTGAAATCCAGTGAATGATGGCAGAAGGCATTTGTTAATGTCATGGGGAAAATACAATTTCTTCTCATACACTGGCTCTTCAAATATCAAATCTCTGGGGGATCCAGTTTGGGGAGCTGGGGAGGGTTCCAGTATACAAGACCTTTGAGGCAAAATTGCATCACTCCCATTGATTTATGACAGTCGTCTCTTAAAATCATTTCTTCAGAGATAGCATGCTAGGGTAAAACAGGAATTTAATCTTAAATATTTGAATACAAAATCTTTAGGCAGGTGTGCTTTCTAATAAACCCACAAGCATCAAATTCCAGACTATCAACATCATCTGCCCCAGAAAGCAAGCCTGAGAGGGTCATTCTGTCCCTTTGATGAAAACTAATTTATGTTGTTTGAGGTACCCCCACACTGGGAACACCAGCCTTAATGCAAGAGGCATACTTTTTTTGCTGCTGTCATTAACAGGTTTATTCAAGGCCTTTATTACTACTCACATGCTAAAATGTTGATATATCTGTTTTTGTGCTTGTTGTCGGGGTGATTGGAATGTTCAGCGGTGATGTTCATGTCGGATGTACAACGCTGCACTTCCTTTTAAGAAAACAATTAAATTGGAAAAGGCAGATGAGCGCAAAACATTTTGTTTGTCTCATTTTGCAAACAGCTCATTCAGAACACATTGAAATGCTGGGGTGTAATTGATTTTTCTTCTCCCATGAGTATTCTTCCAGCAGAGTGCAGTTTAAACATCTTGTTGCTCTATTAAGGATGCTGCCTGGTTCCTCAGTATCTGATCAAATTCTTGGTGATTAAAATTCAATCTGGTGCAAAATCCCTCACGAAGCATTTAGAATTGTCCATCTTTCTCTGAACAGCAACGTGAAAGGACTATAGTGTGGTCAGAGGCATTTTGTTAATCTTTGCCTATGGCCCTTTTGCAATTTTGACACATTCACAAGCCATTAAAAAACTATTCAAACCAGCAATTTGTCAGTTTTTTTAAAAAAACTGGGCCAGTTTTGTGCTTCGGGGCAAAAGGCACTTGAGAAAAAATATATATAGTGGTCCTGAGGAAATGTCAAGTGGACAGGTAGAGCATATAATACAGTTAATATAGTTTTTCTTTAAAAAAAGCTCCAAGTACAAAGAATTTAAAACAAACTGAATTCCTAGCTTACGAAAAGAGTCCCAGTGTCAACAAGGGACAAAATATATAGTTCAGAGTAAAGTCATATATAAAAAGTATCTCATTGAGATTCCTTGAACTAGCCTTCTGAAATGAGAAAAAGTAATCAAACGAAAGACTGTTATGGTATATATTTTCTACTATAGTAAATACAATACCACAAAGTTTGTAGTATGTTCCAATTCAGCACATCAACCTCATGAAATAAGATGTTCAAGAGTCTTTTAAAAAAATACTTTTATCCTCTTTTTCAAGAAAACAGTGATTCCCTCAATATTGGATGCCATCTCAGTGCAAATTGGTCATTTGCAAGTGTTCCTTGTTTAATGTCACTTTCTCATCAATATTCTAAAATCAAATATTGTTAAGTGAACTAACACAAAAGTGTACCTTCCTGCATTCCAGTTACTGTTGGTCCTCCATATCCATGGATTCAACCATCAAGAATTCAATTACCCACAGCTTTAAATAAAATCTCAAAAGCAAACTTTGATTTGGCCATTTTATGCAAAGGACACCATTTTACTATGCCACTGTATATAATGGCACTTGATCCCCCACAGATTTTGGTATCAATGGAAAGGGATGGGGTCCTGAATACAAACCCCAGTGGATACCAAGGGCTCACTGTATTTAGAAACTTTAAATTCTGCCATTTATTTAAAATATTTTCAATAAAGTATTAAAATAATTGAACAATAGCTCTATCTTATACTTAGTTCTTGCTTGTATGCCTAGCTGTCCAGTTACACTTCATCAGCTAGGCTCCCATTTCTGCAGGGTACCCACTGTTCCTAGTCCACCTCAGAGTTACACTGATATCAAATTGCTTGACACTTTGGGCATCACAAGCTAAGACAGAATCTTCTTAATAAGGCAAGTCATTAGTACAGCACAGCTGCTGCAAATAAAAGATCAGGAGTTAAGAGGTAGAGGGAGTTATCAAAGGAAACATTAGGGGGGAAAACAGCAGCTGTAACCAGGAGTTCAGGATTATGCAGAAATGTCATTAAGGACCTGCACAGCTACTTGCAGGCTCCCCTGCTAGTATCCCTTTCCAAAACATTTATATATGTATTGAAAATGCAAAGTATCACAAATCCTAGTAAATAAGGGCATTTATTTCCCCAAAGCAGTGACAGTTCTTTTCCAGGGGAAGCAAGCTATTTGGAAAAACAAACAGCGAAGACAAGGGAGTAGGAGTGCTAACCCTTAGATCCGTCATTATGGTCCACACGTGCTAATCCTTTTGCTCAATTGGTTGAAATAACTTCAAGTCTATTGTGAGTTTTTCACACGTGTTATTTAGATTAAAGGGAGCTGCCATTCAGTTCCATGGATATACAGAAATACCTTGACATATGAGTTTAATTCATTCTGTGACCAAGCTCGTAACTCAGTTTGCTCATGTCAAATCAAACCACCCCATTCAAATGAATTGAAATGGTATTAATCCATTCCAGCCCCCCAAAAATCACACTAATTTTTAATGGAGTAGATCCAAAAGTGTGCAGTGTAGGTTGCACAGTGGCGCTGAGCTGCTACTCCTGCTGCGTGTGTGTCTTCCTTCCTCTTTCCTCTTCCCTTGTCTTCCTTCCCTTGTGCGTGTGGGGGACTTCTGTATGTGAGGGGAGGGGGCACACACGTGCTCAGGTTTTTTGGGGGGCTGCATTTGCACACGCTAGCTGCTTCCCTCTTGTGTCCAAAATGGCAGTGGAGGCACAGCGATCACTGTTTGACAGCCAGTGGATAAAAAGAAGCAAAAATCCTCCAGCACAAAAACAAAAGTTCCAGTTTTTGTGGACATTGAGCACACTGAGAAAGTAAGTTATTATTATTATTTATTATTATTATTTGATGCACTTATTAACCGCCATTCTCAGCCCTTACGGGCGACTCATGGCGGTGTACAGTACAGATAAAAGACAGTTACAAAAGCCAGTATCCACAACACATAGCTATACAACAATACAAACTACATAAAAATCCGCTTCGTCTCTTAGTAGAATCATAGGCCAGTCTCATCATCCTTATACCATTCTTTGTGCAAAAGATTTCTTTTCAGTTTAACAAAGAAACCTCAGTGATAAATTGTGAAAGAAACTCAAAGCCCTTGCTTTCTCCTCCTGAAGCTTCTCTTTTACACATAAACATTCAGCTCACTATCTGGTGGAACATTCCAGACTAACTAATCTATTTCAGAATAAGGCATCATAAACTACAGCCCACTTCTTTGCATACATGAAACGGATATATCTCATTTCTAGTATAAGCCAAACAAATGATATGGGTTTCCAGTTCCTTGATGCCTACTCTTCCACTTCTAAAACCTCAGCTGCTTCCCCATTGATTAAAATTGTTAGAAATTACAGTCTCTTGGGGGTCAATTATGTTGGCCAGTGTGTCAGCCTGTCATGCTCTGCAGAGGACCTGCCAGAGTGACTTCACTAGGGATGGGTTGAAATGGCTGCCATCAATTTACCACTCCAACCAAATGTGATAATTTTGAATAAGTCATTTCTATTTTATTTCACACTTGGGATTTGACCTCCGAAATCGTGTTAAAGGGTTTGTGGTTGTTACTGTGTGTCTTCCAGTCATTTCTGACTTACAATGATTTTGAAGTAAACCTATCACAGAGTTTTCTTGGCCAAATTTATTCAATAGGGGGCTTTGTTTTTGCCTTCCTCTGAAGCTGTGACTTGCCCAAGATCACCAATGGGATCTTCAGTTGTTGTCCAATACTTAAACCACTATATCACACTCCCATTGCACCTATCTTTCCTTTAATTTCTTCTTCTTTTTGAACTGATTGGATGTGCTGAAGGACTCAGTGGTATGGTAGCAGAAGCAGAGAAGTTCTGGCCACCACCATTCTTTATTCTCTGCTGCATTCTATACCTCTGAGGTATCTCCCTTCTAACCTCCGCTGGGAAAATCCTCGCAAGAATCCTTGCAAACCGCCTTCTGCCCCTCTCAGAAGACACCCTCCCAGAATCCCAGAACGGCTTCCGCCCCTCCAGAGGAACCGTGGACATGATCTTCACTGCAAGACAGCTCCAAGAAAAATGCAGAGAACAAAACCAACCTCTGTACATGGCATTCATCGACCTTGCAAAGGCATTCGACACAGTGAATCGCAGCGCTCTCTGGACCATCCTCCACAAAATCGGGTGCCCAAACAAATTTGTGAACATCCTGCGGCTCCTCCATGATGACATGATGGCAACAGTCTTGGACAGCAGTGGCTCCCAAAGTGACCCATTTAAGGTGGAATCGGTGTCAAACAGGGATGTGTTATTGCCCCAACTCTATTCTCCATCTTCATCGCTATGATACTTCATCTTGTTGATGGGAAGCTTCCCACCGGAGTGGAAATCATCTATTGGACAGATGGCAAGCTATTCAATCTCAGCAGACTGAAAGCCAAAACCAAGGTTACAACAACAGCTGTTATAGAATTCCAGTATGCTGATGACAATGTCGTCTGTGCGCATTCAGAAGAAGATCTACAAGCCACTCTAAACACCTTCGCAGAAGCATATGAGAAGCTCGGCCTGTCACTGAACATTGAGAAAACGAAGGTGCTGTTCCAGCAGTCGCCAGCCAATCCCTCTCCAATGCCAGTAATACAGCTTAATGGTGTCACATTAGAAAATGTGGACCATTTCCGCTACCTTGGCAGCCACCTCTCCACCAAAGTCAACATCGACGCGAAATACAACACCGCCTGAGCTCTGCAAGTGCAGCATTTTCCAGAATGAAGCAGAGAGGTTTGAGGACCGGGACATCCGTAGGGATACCAAGGTGCTTGTTTATAAAGCTATTGTCCTCCCAACCCTGCTATATGCCTGTGAGACGTGGACTGTCTACAGACGTCACATGCAACTCCTGGAACGTTTCCATCAGCGCTGCCTCCGGAAAATCCTGCAAATCTCTCGGGAAGACAAGCGGACAAATGTCAGTGCTGGAAGAAGCAAAGACCACCAGCATTGAAGCGATGGTCCTCCAACTCCGCTGGGCCGGCCACGTTGTCCGGATGCCTGACCACCGTCTCCCAAAGCAGTTGCTCTACTCTGAACTTAAGAACGGAAAATGGAACGTTGGTGGACAGGAAAAGAGATTTAAAGATGGGCTCAAAGCCAACCTTAAAAACTCTGGCATAGACACTGAGAACTGGGAAGCCCTGGCCCTTGAGCGCTCCAGCTGGAGGACAGTTGTGACCAGCAGTGCTGCAGAATTTGAGGAGGCACGAGTGGAGGGTGAAAGAGAGAAACGTGCCAGGAGGAAGGCGCGTCAAGCCAACCCCGACCGGGACCGCCTTCCACCTGGAAACCAATGCCCTCACTGCGGAAGAAGATGCAGAGCAAGAATAGGGCTCCACAGCCACATACGGACCCACAAG